GCCAGAGAATAGCTGGGGAGGGTCACCTTTTCTAGCCTCAGCTATAACAGTCTTATTGGGGATGGTTAAAATAGGTTATTGACTGAGGGACTACATGCTTAAGAAGAAAAGACACTATTTGGTAAAGCTTTTTTCCGCTTTCCCTACAAGGTCAGAACTCCCTTTATTTATAAGAGGTTTCACTTTTGGGTACCGTGGGCTGGGTTGCTTGTCATTTAAACTGCAGATCAATAAAGAGCCCCCATTTTTCTGACAGGCTATAACATAATAGCAGTGTTAGGTTTAGAAGCACAAATTCCTGCGTAGAAAGTTTGTTAGTACTTACGTAATTGTCTGCTGGTCCTGTAGTAGCCAGCACTGCATGTTTCTCTGTTCCTTGTATTCTTGATTGCATCTGTGCTGGAAGTCACTTTATACTGTGTTCTTAATGTATTTACTGCCTCTGGTCTTTACTCAGGGCTGGGAAAGTCCACAAATCTTTGTTTTTGTATTAGTGATGTTATTAATAGAAACCCTGGGTTGAGGGACAGTTGTGCCCAAGTAGAGCAAACAGAGAAAAGATGAAGTTGAAGGACCTGGACAGGAGCTGAAGAGATGGCTCAGTGGTTAAGAGCACTAGCTGCTCTTCCAGAGGACTTGGGTTCAACTCCCAGCACCCACATGGCAGCTCACAACTGTCTGTAACTCCAGTTCCAGGGGTCTGACACCTTTATATAGACATACATGCAGGCAAAACACCAATGCACATGAAATAAAAATAAATCATTAAAAAAAAAACCAAATGGACATGCTGAGAAAATTAATGACAAAGAATGAAATCCCCAAGTCAGAAATGATTTCATAGATTGTACACTGAAGTGATGGCATGGTTGCTTTGTGGGAAAGATGTATTTTTTTATGACTGGATGGAGGAGGGAAAGGGAGACTATACCCTATTAAAAGGGAGCTGTCTCAGAAGCACAGTATTGGTCAAAGAAAGCAAACTACATGATATGCAAATTTTCATGTTTAGAGGAAAGTAATATAGAACAGAGTGATAGAAATACAATTGTTAGCCGGGGGTGGGGTGGGGTGGGGTGGGGTGGGGGTGGCGGCACTGTAGCCACACGCCTTTAATCCCAGCACTCGGGAGGCAGAGCCAGGCAGATCTCTGTGAGTTCAAGGCCAGCCTGGTCTACAGAGTGAGACCCAGGACAGGCACCAAAACTACAAAGAGAAACCCTGTCTCGAAAAACCAAAAAAAAAAAAAAAAAAAAAAAAAAAAGCCCACCACCAAAAAAAGAAATACAATTGTTAATGTCTGTGCTGGATTGGTTTCAGGGTCCCCTGAGCACGTAACCAAAATCTACATTCATTAAAATGGTGCATTGGTATACAACCTGTATATATCTTACTGAAATGTTTGTTTCTTAAAATGTTTTTATTTCTTTAGTGTTGGGGGGTATCATGGAGGTCAGAGAACAACTTGTAGGAGCTGGTTCTCTCCGGACCATGTGAGTTCAGGGGTCAGACTCAGGTTGTCAGGCTTGTGTGCCATGCTCCTTTACCTGCTGAGCCATCCCAGCCCAGGGAACTTGGAATCAGCTCTGCGATACTACAGTGCCCACCATGTAAATAGCTGTTGTATTATTGAGAAAATGGGGTGGTAAAAAGTCTGCATGTGTTACAGTACAGCTGCCCTTTGTTCAAGTATTTATACTATACACTTCCTTTTAGCCTACAGACACCAAATCTGTGCCTACTTGGAAGGGCCAACTTTGTAAACGTTTTCGAAAATACATCCCAAATATTTATAGTGATCTGAAAGAGAAGGTAGGACTAGATAGAGACTTTGGTACTTTTGCAGTGCTCTGTGTGTGTGTTTGCAAAGAATAAATCCATCAATTAAGCCATACAGCAAATATCCACTTTAAAAAGATAGGCCAAGGTGCCATTTAGCCCTGTGATCCTAGTCCTGGAGAGACTCAGGCAAATCCAAGCGTGAGGCCACTGGGTCTTTACTAAGAACTCCAGGCTGGATTTTCAGAGCCGACTTCTCTGCCTCCCCTGACTTCCAGCCAGTCAACCAACCTCTGGGCCCTGGGCCCGGACCACAGGGAACTGGACCCTAATCCCTACTTCAAAGACCCTCATGCCCCTACTCCGAGTCAGTCCCCTCTCCTGTGGGCTTTCCTGTCACGCACCTCTCCTACTGTGCCGAGCTGGAACTGCTCAGAGTTTATGAAACCCGAGTTCCAACGAGACTTTGCTACCCTACCTGCCATGCTGATCAGGGACCAATGTGAGTCTGAACCCTGAAACTCAGTGCCTTGAGACTAGAAATCAACCTAACAGACTGGGGTAACAGCAAAGACTGAACAGAAGCCTAATGTCTACATACTGAGGCCTCTGTCTCAAAAACAAACAAACCAAAAAAATAGTATGGTATTGGCATAAAAACAGACAACACTGATCATAAGTTCAAACACACATGAACACCTGATTTTTTATAAAGAAGCCTAAAATGCACACTGGAGGAAACATCTTCTTCAACAATTGGTGCTGGTCAAACTGGATAGCTGCATGTAGAAGGATGAAAATAGATGTATGTCTGCCTCCCGAGTGCTGGGATTAAAGGTGTGCACCACCACCGCCCGGCGAAAACAAGTATCTTAATGATTGCAATTTTGTTCAGTTAAGAAGCATGTGCAAATTCTGTTATGCCTTTCACATGTCATGTTTTCATCTGTTGAGCATTAATGAACCCTGTTTGGTTTGTATCCATGAACTTCTAGATGTTTAAATCTATGTTGCAGTACTGGGATGTGGCATTAAAGAAGACATTTTGTGTAGTAGATACCATACAGGTAGCTGTTGTGCATTCTTTTGTGTGTGTGTGTGCACATGTACATTCTCGTAGAGGCCAGAGTTATGTTAGGTGCCCTTGTCCATCAGTCTCCACCTTAATTTTTGAAACAGATTCTCAGACCGACTGGCTAGTGAGTCCCATCTGCCTGTGTCAGCCTTCTCAGTACTGGGGTTATAGGTATACTGTGCTGGGTTTTCTAGATGAGTGATGGATCTGAACTAAAGTTTTCCAGCTTGTGGGACACATACTTTACCATTGCCACCATCGCCAAAGCACTGGGCTTGGCACCTTTCCCCACTGACCATCTTGCTGGCTTTTCATATAAAATATTACTAAACATGTTTGAACTAGAGTCCAGGAGAGAGGGAAAGGAAGCACACTAGTGTAGAATCTAGTTTAACTTTGGGTGTTGGTCCTCAGGAGTCGTCCACTGTTCTTCTCTGAGCAGGACAGGCTTGGCTGGCCAGGGATCCCCAGGGCCCCCCTGTTTCTGTGTCCCCGTGTGTGCCACCACAGCCTGTACTTTGATGTAGGGTGGGGAGAGCTCAGGTCCTCCTGCCTGCCAGGCTAGCGCTCTGCCAACTCAGCTATCTCCCCAGCACAGGAACTTGTATTTCAACCCAAATGACACATGATTTTGATAGTTTGACTGATCTGGGGATCATTTCAATTTAGATCCATGAGACACTCCTAAATACCTTCACTAATTTTCCTGATAGATAATCACCTAAACTCTTATATCCTCTCCTGACAGGAACTCATTACCACATGCCAACAAGGTTAGTTCATCAGTGATTGCATGCAATATTATGCTTCCATAGAAGTCATTGTTTACTATCCTGTGTGCATTGGATCAACTTCTTTGGACAGAATTTTATACTCCTTAGGGTTTTGAGTGTAGATCTGGGTTCTACCTACTAAACTCACTTTCCTAATGCATATAATAGATATGTTTTTACCCACCTTGAAAGACTGCATTAAAGTTTAAGTGGAAAAATAAAGACTGCCCTGGCCAGAAAGATTCTTGAATGTCGTCAGACAACCTTTTCTTTTAGGGGAGATGGAGGAGGGTCAGGGTCTTGCTGTGTAACCCAAGCTAGCCTCCTATGGCAGCCTCCTAACTGCTGGAATAATAGGCAAGCCCTGCCACACTCTGTCAGTCATCCTAAACTGACTGTTCTTATTAATGTCATTTAATCTCCTCTTCATGATGAATTTTTATTTCTTTAAAAAGTTGCCAGCCGGGTGGTGTGGTACATTCCTTTAATCTTAGCACTTGGGAGGCAGATCTCTGAGTCTGAGGCCAGTCTGATCTACAAATTGAGTTCCAGGACAACCAAGGCTACACAGAGAAACACTGTCTTATAAAAAATTTGTATTTTGTTGCATTTTCTTATTTGTGTGTGTGTGTGTGTGTGTGTGTGTGTGTGTGTGTGTGGTGTATGTATGTGCGTGTGTGCATGCCCCAGAATGCATGTGGAGGTCAGAGGACAACATGTGGGGGTCAGTTCTCTACTTCCAGTTGTCTTAAGCTTATCTTTCTCTCTCCACATAAAAAAAAAAACAAAAACAAAAACAAAAAAACTATCCATGTATGGAATTTCCTGGTCATAAATATTAAAGTGATTTATTACAGTTACATTGAAATCATAGTCATGCTTTGACTTTTTGTATTTTGAGACAGTGCCTATGTGTATAGTTCAGACAGGCCTGGAACTCGCTCCACAGGTGAACTACTGATCCTGTTGCCTCAGCCTCTTCCTACAATAACCTGTGTTTTCAGAAAAGTGATTCTGATTTTACACTAAGTTCTCTGTTGTTCTCTAGGAATGTGGACAATCTGTGTCCACTGGAAGACAGGGAATGGATGGTAGAAGGCAAACTAATGCATTTGACCCATTGCATTTGAGAGAAAGTTAGTCAGAAGAAATGGGATGTTTATATTTTAGACTATCAGGGAAAGGATGCACTTTATTATAGATACTTCTATTGAAAGTATTGGTGCTGTCATTTTTCTTAGTAAAAAGTGAATGTGTGTTTAGAATTGTTTGTAACTTTCATTCATATTGCCAGTCTACAGCAGGAAGCAGAACAAATGTTAATTTTATGAAGTCATTTTATATATTGTCTTGTTCTGTGTTTTTATTTTTAGGACCGGAGTAGGCCCTATGACACTTTTAACTTGCACTCCTTGGAGAACTCCTTAATGGATATGATAAGGACTGATCATGAGCCTCTGAAAGGTAAACACTACCCTCCCAGTGGCCCACCAATGAGTTTCGCTGATATAATGTGGAGGAATCATTTTGCAGGTTAGGAATATTCATATGTCCATTCTTGCTTGGTGTTTTAAGCAAAAATCAGCTTTTTAATAATTGTGATTTTTTTTGTTGTGTTTGTTTGTTTGTTTTGCTTCTGTAAAGCATTGTGGAATGTATTTAAAGTTGATTTTCTTTTTTAACCTGGGTTCAGCTACCTACAGTAATCATAGTTGGTAACCTTAATCTGTTTATCTAGAAGAAGTCTATGTTGGGTAGCTGAGGTCATGGTTATAGCATGAAACTAGAAGCCAAATTTTCTGGGCTTTGTACATTTGGAATCCTTAGCTGAATCTGTAGAATTCATTTAAGTCCAGGTATACCTCAAGAAAGTAAATTAATCTTCAAAACCCCTTCAGAAAGCTTCATAGATATGGTTAGCATTGTGTTAGTGTTTAACACCTGCCTAGTATAGGAGCATCGCAGCACAGCTCCTTCATAGATAGGTCCCGTGTGCTGGAGTCTAACACCTTCGTGTGTAGGAGCATTGCTGTGCTGCTGATGTGCAGCCAGTGGCCCTTTGCACAGTGTGGGCTACAGTGCACGGAAGATATCCTAGAGGGTATGCATGCTTTGAGTTCAGTATGAGGTAACGCATTGAAAAATTGACAATAGTAGGACTTATAGAGCCCCTGTAAACCATAATTACAGATGGTTCTTTTTATAGATTATTCAACTGTAATGCAAGTTACCGGTGTGGAAATATCCACTCCATTTTGAGTTAGGACTTTAATTAAAAACTGAACAGTTTTGCCACAAGGATGACCATCTTGAGCGAACTCCACCTCTTCTGAAATTGTGAGGACTTTTTCCTCTCTGGCGTTCACTAGGCCCTTATCTAGAATGTGACCAACTGAACCTCTGACATTCATTTCCTCCCCAGAATCCTTTGCACCATTTTCTTGTCACACTCATCATTTTCCTGCTTGCTTTCCTTATTTTCCAGTGAGGAAGAGTAGTAACAGTAAGCAATAGAGAAAATAAAGGGTCTGGAGAAAAACTAGATTTTAAGGCCTTCAGCAAAAGAAGAAAGAAAAGACAAAAAAATATTTGCTGTTATATTTAGTCTCTTACCACATCTTTCTTCAGTTAAAGATTAGGTCCATGGTAATTTGAAGCATGTTATACTTAGAGGTGTCAATGATGTAAAAAAAAAAAAACAAACAACAAACCGATATTCACAGATTGTTTTGTTTTTAGACTGTTTTGAGGTTGCATTTGTCATTTTCCTCTACCGTGGGTTGCCTCTCCTGATCATTCAACCACTTAACCTTCTGTGTATACCTCCTGTAGCTTGGTCTGGATTCTCTGCTCGCTCTTTCTTTCTTTCTTTCTTTTTTTGAGACAGGTTTCTTACTGTATAGTTCAGGCTGTCCTAGAACACATTATTTATCTCAGGCTGACCATGGAACTCAAGACAATCCTCCTGCCTCATCCTTGTGAGTGCTAGGATTATAGGGGTACACCACTGTATTCTTTCAGTAAAAAAATAGGAAAGGATTTTAGATGATAGTCTCTACATTGATTTTTTTTCTTAGAATTTTCTGCATACTGATAAAGCGGAAGCTATTTGCCACATGAAGCAGAGCACTGGCACAGGGAGAGAGGGTAACCTCACTGTAATGTGAAGATCCTCCCCGTTTGTGGTGTCCCTTCTTCAGTTGCGGGCCCCACTATCTCTGCAGACTTTTCTTTACTAGCAAATATGAGGTCAAAGACTGCTTCACCATACGTGTATTATGGCCTACTGAGTTGGGAAACCTTTAGTATGTACTTTTTTATAGTCTGAATATGGTTTCAACTTCCCAATTTGTCATACTGAACTGCATGATTTCCTATAAACAGACTACTTCCCTGAGGTCAGTGACATCACTATGTCCCTGTGGTCAGTGACATCACTTGCACCTTTAAGAAAATATTTTGACACTGGGCATGGTGGTGCACATCATAATCTCAGCACTTGGGAAGCAGAGGCAGGAGGGTGATACAAGCACAAGGCCAGCCTGAGCTTATATATAACAAGTACCCGGCCACACAGAGCTGTGTAGTGAGACTTGTCTCAAAAAAAACCAAGAACAAGAACAAAGAGGAAGAGGAGAAAAGAAAATGTGTAAGATACTTTTAGCTTTAAAAGTAAAGAAAATTGTCAGACTAAAAGGTGGCTAAAAAGTTGGGCTGGAGGGATAGCTCAGTCTTCAGGCTGGAGGGATAGCTAAGTCTTCAGGCTGGAAGGATAGCTCAGTCTTCCGGCTGAAGAGAGATAGCTCAGTCTTCAGGCTGGGGAGATAGCTCAGTCTGAGTATTTGTCTTGCACCATGATGGCCTGAGCTCAATCTCTGAACCCAGTGAAAAGAGCTGGTATGCTAGCACGTGCTCACTATCCCAGTGCTGGGGAGAGACAGGCAGACTCAATTGGCCAGCGCGTCTAGCCTGCTTGATGAGTTCCAGGCCATGAGAGACCCCATGTCAAAAACAAACAAAACCACAACCTCACCAAAAACATGTGGACGGTATCTGAGGAACAATAGCAGAGATTGTCCTCTGTCGGATCTCCACATGCATACATATGTGTCTATACACATGAACATGCATATACATATAAGTAACTTAAAGCATAAGAAACATTATGATGGTGTAACCTTTAGTTTTTATTTTTGATAATAATAAATACCCATATTTCTCTCTGATTTATAATTTATTGATAGAACATAAATTTAGACTTTCTAGTTTTTCTCTATCCTAGGTAATGCTGCTGTAAGTTTTTCTTCATGTAGCTTTTGCTTAAGGCACATTCATAGTGATGGTCTATGGGTCCAAAGATAGAAGCATCAGGGTAGGTTGAACGTTAGGGGCTAGATGATACATTAGGGCACCTACTGTGTGCTGGGAAGTGCTTTGCCCTGTTCCACCTTTTCTTTCCTTCCTAAGTATCCTCCTTAGACCCTTGGTCTTGATCTTTTCCCTCTTGAATGTGGGGACACTATTTGTGGGGTGGGGTAGGGTATGTGTGTGTCTCAAAACTCAAGTGCAGAGTTGGATTTGGGGGTGCTTATTTGCACTGGTGTTATTCTTAGAACTCAGTTTTCTTTAGGAAAAAATCCCACGTTCTTGCTTACTATACAAAAAAAAATTCAAATAATATGTAGTGGGTCAAAAAAGGAAGTTAAAAAGCCTGCTGTAGGCTCAATACCTAGAAATAGCAAAGTTATTCAGTCATCTTTATTAAGAGCCTCCCAGATGTCCTACATCGTCTATGTAGGAGATGAAATTTCAAAACACAGCCTTTCTAACTTTGTAGTCAGTCCAAACTAGATTTGAGTTCTTTATCTGCCCCTAGTTGGCTATTGAACTGAATACATTAGCTTCTTGAAAACCTTGTAATTAAGATAAAACACCTTATAAAATAGGTGGGGAGATGAGATCCCTGGCACAAGGAACTGTGCAGATCCTGCGTGTGATTTTCTGTGGAGGTGAGCGTGGCTTATTCCTTGACCCCTGTAATAAACTAAGCCATATCAGTACAGATTTATTTCTTGACCAGACTACAGCTCAATGTTGGCTGCAAATTGTCACAATTGTTTTTATTTTCCATAGAAAAGTAGTGATTATTGAAGGATAAACCATCATTTTCAAAAGCCATGTGTAGGAGAAAGAAAACTGCCCTAAATCACTTTCTAAAACTGTCTATCTGAATAACATAGCTGTCTTAGTATTCTATTGCTGTGAAGAGACACCATGACCAAGGCAACTTACAAAAGAAAGTATTTAATTGAAGGCTTGCTTGCAGTTTCAGAGGGTGAGTCCATGACCACCATGGCGGGCAGGCATGGAACTGGAGCAGCAGCTGAACACATAAATCTCAAGTTGGAGGTGTGTGGGGGAGAGGGGAAAAGAGAGAGAGAGAGAGAGAGAGAGAGAGAGAGAGAGAGAGAGAGAGAGAGAGAGAGAGAGAGAGAGAGAGAGAGAGAGAGGAGAGAGAGAACAGAGAGACTGGACCTGGTGTGGGCATTTGAAACCTCAAAAAGCCCAGCCGTAGTGACACACCTTCTCCAAAAAGGCCACTTCCTAATCTTTTCCAAAATAGTTCCACCAAGCATTCAAATATGACGTAAATTACTTCATGATATACTTAAAATGGACATGGTACATATTCACAGTGGTAGTCGTATAGAAGATATCAGTATCTATTGTTTAAGAAATATTTAGTGAAAAATCATTTTATTCAAGCATTCTTTTAATTCAAGAAAAAGAAAGGGCTAGTGTGAGAGCAGGAAGTTTAGGGAAGAAGACTTCTGTTTCAGTAAATCAGACCTTAGAGGTCTTGTGTTTGTGCTCATGCTGGCTCAGTCTAGATGATGAATCCCAGAGGAGTGCCTTCTGTGGGATGCAAGTGTGTCCAGCTCGATGGTCGAGCCCTTGTGCGGAAGCCTCTGGTGTAATCCTGCAGGAGAAGGAAGGGAAAAAAGCACCTTGTTGCAGTCACCGGCTGGTTCAGTTTGGCAGTAACAGAGCGCAGAAGAAGGTCTTTGTGTCTTACACCTTTATATCCTTTTTGGTTGAGAGATGCCTCATACTGATGAGACAGGAGGGTTTTGAGACAAATATAAATTTATGAACATTGATACTTTGCTTCTAAACACAGAAGTCCTTGAATTAGCAGAGATAGGAGTGGTGGAAGGAACTGATCTCTCCTCAAATCCAACCCTCCTCCTAACTGTGTAGGGAAAGAGGATTTCTAGTGTTAGAAATAAGAGGAGAGAAAGGAAAAAGATTCATCACTGTACTCTCTTTGTATGAGACTGTCTTCGGACTTGAAAACCTGTAGTCGTTAGGCGTGATTGGCCAATCACCTTTCCTACTAGAATAAACAAGGAAATAGCAGCCATATGCTTTGGACAAAGTAGCCGATCGCTAGAAAGCGAGATCCCATCCTCTGGCTGAGGAAGCACATACAGCAGGCCGCTGGGACAGCAGGAAGGGGAGGGTTCCTTCAT